GGGGGGTATACTTCCCACTGACCAACAATGTAAGGGGGGCATGATTCCCACTGACTAACAATGTGATGGGGGGCATACTTCCCACTGACCAACAATGTAAGGAGAGGGACATATTTCCCAGTGACCCACAATGAAAGGGTGGCATTCTACCCACTGACCAACAATGTAAGGGAGGACATTCTTCCCAATGACCACCAATGTGAGGGGGAACATACTTCCCACCAATGCAACGGGCCTTCTTCCCACTGATCACCAAAGTAAGGGATGTTTTCCCCACTGATCCTGATGAATTAGTCTGAGCAGGAGCTCCCTGAGACCTGGGGGTTCTTCTGGTGTAAAAGGTTTTAGAAAGGCAGACTTTGTGAGTCACCAACCTGGAGCAAGTAAGCAAGTAGGGAGTTCAGTTTTTTTTTTCTTTTTTACTTTTCTGGCCGCATGCTGGTTCCTGGTCAATGCTTCACTGGGTAGAGACGTCAGGATGAAAATGACGGCCTGGGGTCTGCACCTTTAGAAGCAAGTCTGTATTTTTAGCCATCATTCAGTCCTCACAGGTTTACTTTAATACCTCTCTGACGTACCACTAAGCTAGATTTGAAAATGTTGTATATAGAAGAAAGGAATAAGTGCGTAAGCGACTATGATGCAGAAAGGAATCCGGAGTTCAGACTGAAAAATGTCGCTGAAGGAAATTGGTCTTTCAGTTTTATATTGAGGTTCCAGGAATGGTAAGTCTGTACATCACAGCTCTTCCATCAGACTTGTCCATGAAGGTGTCCTTTGGTTGTGTCCTATCACTCTGATATGGTCGGTCCCATCTAGTGTTCCTAGAAAGGTTGTGTCAGTCACAAGTCTGTTAGCTGGTATTTGCGGACAATTCCATCTCTGCAGCAAGTGTAAACCAACTTCTCCGAGAGCGCCACCTGGGAGAGAAAATGGGGACATTTATCAATGGTGTCACAGAGAAAGGCAATGTCGAATGGGGGAAGAGACAGATTATAGACAGATTTAAAGATGAACTCTGGGCGGAATTTTTTTTATCGGTATTGTATATGCCCATTTCTACCTTTAAGAAATATTATATTCCTTTTGTGACCAAAGCTGATCTGATGGTGATCAATCTTGGTCTGTCCCACCCACCCACCATTACATCATAGCTTGACCGACAGCTCAGAAGACTCCTGGTGTAACCTGCCTACCATTGCATCATAGCATGAATGACATGCCAAGAGACTCCTGGTCCATCCCAACCACCATTACATCATAGCTTGACCAACAGCTCAGGAGACTCCTGGTGTAACCTGCCTACCATTACATCACAGCATGAATGACATGCCAAGAGACTCCTGGTCCATCCCAACCACCATTACATCATAGCTTGACCAACAGCTCAGGAGACTCCTGGTGTAACCTGCCTACCATTACATCATAGCATGAATGATGTGCCAGGAGACTCCTGGTCTGTCCCAACCACCATTACATCATAGCTTGACCAACAGCTCAGGAGACTCCTGGTGTAACCTGCCTACCATTACATCACAGCATAAATGACATGCCAAGAGACTCCTGGTCCATCCCAACCATCATTACATCATAGCTTGACCAACAGCTCAGGAGACTCCTGGTGTAACCTGCCTACCATTACATCATAGCATGAATGATGTGCCAGGAGACTCCTGGTCTGTCCCAACCACCATTACATCATAGCTTGACCAACAGGTCAGAAGACTCCTGGTGTAACCTGCCTACCATTACATCACAGCATGAATGACATGCCAAGAGACTCCTGGTCCATCCCAACCACCATTACATCATAGCTTGACCGACAGGTCAGAAGACTCCTGGTGTAACCTGCCTACCATTACATCATAGCATGAATGACATACCAAGAGACTCCTGGTCCATCCCAACCACCATTACATCATAGCTTGACCGACAGCTCAGGAGACTCCTGGTGTAACCTGCCTATCATTACATCATAGCATGAATGATGTGCCAGGAGACTCCTGGTCTGTCCCAACCACCATTACATCATAGCTTGACCGACAGGTCAGAAGACTCCTGGTGTAACCTGCCTACCATTACATACATAGCATAGCATGAATGGCATGCCAAAAGACTCCTGGCCGTCCCACTCACCATTACATCATAGCTTGACAGACAGCTCAGAAGACTCCTGGTGTAACCTGCCTACCATTACATCATAGCATGAATGACATACCAAGAGACTCCTGGTCCATCCCAACCACCATTACATCATAGCATGAATGACCCGCCAGGAGACTCCTGGTCTGTCCCAACCACCATTACATCGTAGCTTGACTGACAGGTCAGGAGACTCCTAGTGTAACCTGCCTACCATTACATCATACATTGATTGACTGGACATGAGACTCCTGGTGTATCAAGCCTAAAGAAAGGTACGCATGCCCATTGAATACTTCAATTACCATTGCATGATGGGAATCGTAGTTTGAAACAATGGCAACTAACACTATAAGGAAGTCATGGCACTTCCTCAATCCCTCCACACGGTAGCTGCTTTTGTCTATATACAGCAATGACTTCACAGACTTTTAAGAAGTGAATTTTGCAAAAATCTACACAAATGTGGAACAAAATCACATGCTCATTTTTACTCTGGCAAAGCACAATAATTATTGTTTAAACTATCCCAAAGTTCAGCTTTTAAGTACAAAGAGTCTGTTAGCAGTGATGCAATGTTCATAGGCTAACAGGGAGCATGCTGATAGGAAGAGGGAGCAGAGTGACAGAGAGATGACCTCATCAGTCTGTTGCTTCTCCTTTGTGTGTTTTTCCCCATCAGCCCCAACATCACTACTGTGTCCTGCAGTGCCCTAGGTGTTGGTGAAAGAAAGCACAGCACTCGCCGGGGTTACCACTGCCCTAGAGCGACTACAAATGTCTTTGGTTTCCCTCAGAAGCTTGTGACTTTCAATAGGTTTCAGAGATCAGACCGGATACTAACATTTATAGGTAAAGTTGATCCAGGGAATATCCGATTGCCTCTCGGGGGATCAGGAAGGAATATTTTTCCCTACAGGAGCAAATTGGATGATGCTTTCCTAAGTTTCAACTGTGGGTGTAGGATTATAACGTTTTTTTTTTTAATGGTTGAACTGGATGGACTTTTGTCTGTTTTCAGCCAGACTAACTATGTAACTGTGTGTCTTTACTGCTTTCAGCATACCTGAATTTTTCTGAGGACCCCCTCTATTGCTTGGGGTTACTTTACTATATGAGAGCATCCTCACTAAAGGATTCAGCTTAATTAATAGGACAGACATTGGCAGCATTTTACAATAATAATAAAAATAATAATAATATTAGTAATAATAATAGGAGCTCGGCACCTCTTATACATCCAAAACAAACCTATCTCAGGTTCTAACTGCTCTATACTCCTAGGCCTGACGGGTGTCTGGGGCCATACGACATAAAAAAGGGTGTATTTCTCTGCTTGGGAGATACAAGTGCAGGGGCGGACTGACAACTCATGGGGCCCCCGGGCAATAGGGGATCATGGGACCCTGTGTCCTCACCCACACTCCAATCACACCCAAAAAAGCCTATGAAAGGTACCAGGGACATCTCATGGGGTCCCCTACTGACCCCAGGCCCTCAGGCAGTGCCGGAGTTCCCCAATGGTCAGTTCGCCCCTGCACAGGTGTTGTAGACAGCCGCCCCCTTAAAAAGCAATGGCTGTGCACAGCTGTCTGTGGGTATACATCAGTATTTGTGTAAACACATGCATGTGTACAGATGTAAACCCCTGGATACAGACAGTCTACATCAGAGGTGTCAAACTGGCGGTCCTCCAGCTGTTGCGAACCTACAAGTCCCATCATACCTCTGCCTTTGGGAGTCATGCTTGTAACTGTCAATCCTGCAATGCCTTATGGGACATGTAGTTTGGCAACAGCTGGAGGGCCGCCAGTTTGACACCCGTGGTCTACATCCAGGGTCATACGGCAGTACGCATCTACCTGTATACACAAGTACCAACATATCCGTAAAACAATCAAAGTGCAGCGCTTAGAAAAGTATGTATGTGATTGACAATGGCAGAAAGTCAATAAAGTATCCACAGTGTTTCTCTGGAGTAATGCGAACTACCCTCTGTACAGCCTCCCCTCTGATGATGTGCCTATAGCACGAAAGGCCTAAGGAGGAGCTGTGCAGAGCGTGACGTCATCTCACTGCCGGAGCCACGAGGAGGCCCGGCGGCCATCTTTACTGGGGTCAGTACTGCTGCTTTTCCTGTGCATACATGAATTTGAATGTGCATACTGCCCTGCTGTGTTCTTTATAATAAAATTGTCTGGGAAATACTACACTATCTATGGCATCTGTTTTCTGGGGCTCCTATGTGGAGCTATTACCCCCACAGAGAAAGCATTTTGCCACCCAGAGAAGAGATTTGTGTGGAGTACCTGGCTGACCTTAAGGGGACCCCTGGATCTGATTAAGGAGTCTGTGATGACCCACCATGAGGGAGATGCCTGCTGCCTAACCTTTGATGTACCTATCATCTGGGATGTTTGATCACATATGCGCATAACCCATGCGTTTCTGGTGAGTGCGCATTTCTGTTATTTGAGGCAGTAAAGGCTGTGGAAGTTCGCATTACTCCAGAGAAACACTGTGGATACTTTATTGACTTTCTACCATTGTCAATCACATACATACTTTTCTAAGTGCTGCACTTTGATTGTTTTACGGTTATATTGAGATTTTATAGGTATTGTGGTTACCTGAAGTGTTCTAGCTGCTGTATATATAAGAGCGCTCACTATCCTTTATGCTGAATAAGTACCAACATATACCCATGTACAATCGTTGCTTTCTACGGGCAGTTGTATGCTGTAACTGTGGCTCCTGGGAAAATTTGACATCATATGGCCCTAGGCTCCCGTGTGCAAGAGGTCTAATATATTAGCTATATAAATCCTGTATAATAAAAAGAATAACAATAATAATCATCAGTATGAATAAATATAAACTGCACAGTCGGTGATGAATAAAGTGCCTACCTTGTACACGGGGTCACAGTCTGGTTCTGAGAGCTCTAGAAGATGGTCAGAATCCTGCTGGAGGATGAAGCAGGTCCCGTCACCTGCCGATAAAAGAACACCAAACCCAAAAAAGTATAATCAGTTATTCAGCTGAAACTCTGCTATAGTTACAAAGTCTATTATGAGCATGTCATTCAGATTTGCTGTTAACTTTCTTTACCTCTCTGCAATTGTGTTATAGCATAACTCAAGCCAAAAACACAAACGTCTTGAAAATTAACTTACCAGTCCTTAGATATGGGGCTGCTTTAGTTGTCTTTTTTTTTTTTTTTTTTTTAGGCTGTTATCCCCCTCTATTACCATCTGATAATCCTGCCAGTAACACACTTCCTGTTGTAGGGTGACAACGCTCATTCACTGTACATTATTTATTAAAAAGCAGCGTGGTCACCCTAGGCTGATCTGATTTAGACTACAAACACCTCCTTCTCTCCCCACCTCTATAACATGGAGCGGAGAGGTAAATTGTAGGTTACAGAAGATAGTTTGGAAGCAACATAATCTTGCCTGTGCTTTCTGTTCAGCTATAGATTTTTGGTGAGATCAACAGGTAATATCTGTACTTGCTGAAAATGTTCCTAGCTAGAAATATGAAAACAAATGCAGCCACCGCATCTAAGGAATGGTAAGCTGAAACCTATTAAATTTTTTGTTGTTCGGTTTAGTTAGCAGGAATACCTAGCCAATCATATTCAGATAGCCCAGCAACAGTTGTGGCAACAAGCAGATGTAACACTTTAACCCCTTCACGCTGGCCGCACACAAATGTGCGGCCTCCCGGCGTCTGGGCCTAGACACCGAGCAGCCGCACATTTGCGTTCATGTAACAAAAAACATGTGCTGAGAGCGCGCGCACTGCGTGCTCCCAGCACACATGTGAGGTACTCACGGAAAGGTCCCGGTCCGCTCTTTCAATCGGGAACTTTCCCGATCATGTGACCGGCTGTGACGTTACGGTGGCCACATGACACTAAGACCCACCCCGTCCACCTCCCGGCGCAGGAACTCCTCTTCACGCCGGGACGATCCCTGGCTGCTCCCGGGTGCCCACGATGTCCTTTAGGGGTAACAAAATGGAGAGTGTTGACAGACCAGCAAACTTCAGTTCTGCCCCTAGTATGATCCCAGGAACACTCAGCTCTGATTACTTGTGAGTTTAGATCCCGGTGACTCTGGCCCATGAAACAGCATGTCAAGTGCAGTCTTTGCTGGCGCAGCTTCAGCAGTATGCAGAGGTGACAGTAAGCCCAGGTTCACATATGTGCGGTGTATCGCATGTGATTCGCACAGGAACCGCACCGCATTCCTGTGCAAATCACATGTGATTTGTGTGTGGTGTGATCGGAGCAACATACCCCGCACGGCCCCATTCGCACCTGCACCAAAAACATGCAGGACCCTTTTTTGGGTCCGCACTAGAATCAGATCGCATGGGTATTCACACCTATGCAATCCGATTCTGCACATCGCACCGCGTTTTGCGGACCACTTTTGGGGTGTTATTAACTTAACATACACACCCGCAGTGGTTCGCATGAACGGGGTGTGATTCTGATGTGATGCGGTATTCGCACTGCGAATTCCGCAACACATCAGTGTGAACCAGGGCTGAAGGCTTTAAAGTGCCACCGATCACCAAAAAATGTGGGATTGTGTTGGGGGGGAGGGGGGTTGTTGAAGTGTTTAGGCTCATACATGACGGCTAGATTTTGCACACAATGCAATTTCATCCTCCAGGGAACTTTCTTCTACCAGTAAAAGAAAACATACACTTCACTTCAGTGGGTGACTTCAGAAGGCTGAGTGCACCTTAATCACTAGCCTACAGGGCACTTATACCCCCTTCCTGCCCAGGCCAATTTCCAGCTTTCAGCGCTGTCACACTTTGAATGACAATTGCGCGATCATGCAACACTGTACCCATATGACTTTTTATAATTTTTTTGTGACAGATAGAGCTTTATTTTGGTGGTATTTAATCACCTCTGGGGTTTTTTTTTTTTTTTTAAACCAAAAACCACTGAAAATGTTGAAAAAAAAAAGTTTTTTCTTAGTTTTTGTTATACAATTTTGTAAATAAGTGATTTTTCTCCTTCACTGATGTGCGCTAATGAGGCTGCACTGATGGACACTGATAGGTGGCACTGATGAGGAGGCACTGGTAGGTGGCACTGATGGGCATTGACAGGCATCACTGATGGGCACTGAAAGGCAGCATTCATATATGGCACAGATAGGCGGCACTGACTGGCACTGTTAGGCGGCACTGATGCACACTGACAGGTGGGACTGACTGGCATTGATAGGCAGCACTGACTGGCACAGATAGGTGGCACTGATTGGCAGCACTGATAGGTGGCACTGATGGGTGACACCGAAAGGCAGCTCAGATGGGCACTGATATGTGGCATTGATGTGGAACTGATGGGCACTGGCAGGTGGCATGGATGAGCACTGACAGCTGGCACTGATGGGGCTACACAGATCATCAGTGCCCTGATGATCAGTGTAGATGTCCCCTGAGGGATGCCGATTACCGGCTATCCTCTCGAGCTATCAGCGTAAGAGCATGTGAGGAGAGAAATGCCGATAACTGACATTTCGCCATTTACATGCGAACAGCTGAGATTGGACACAGCTGATCACATGACCGAGCCGACATCTTCGGCTCTTTCCGTTGATCGGTGATCCTCTGTTTCCGAGGGACACAGCGCACCACCGTTTGCCACGCTGCGCACTCCCAGAGCCACGCATGCGCGGTTAGAATGTAACGACGTCATACGACGTCCTCCCAGAACGAGAGAACCGCCTTGCGCCCGTCATTACACTATATGGTGGGCGGGAGGCGGTTAAACACCTCATTACTGGCATTTTTTTTTATTAATTTTGAAAAAATTGTGCTAAACAATGAGATCACCCTCACTTGACTACTTTGCAAAAAAAGGGATTATTTTGTGGGTTTACGTACTGTGAAGGCATTGTGTGATTGATATTTTTTATAACAGAAAGGTCGGTGAAACAGTTTAGTCCTTTAGTAAAAAAAAAGAAAGTATATTAAAAAAACCTGTGGGTATTATCTGTCTGTCTCAAATCAATGATATATTACTCATCTGGGTACAGTGTTGGATGACGGAGTCATTGTCAGTCAAACTATTACAACACTGAAAAATTAAAAATGGCGACAGTCTTGTACTGGTCAGGCAGATGGAACTCTTCAGGCCGTACTACGGTATATCATGAGCTAAGACAATGAATTACATTTGTACCTTGGCTGGCAATGAAGCCCTCTCTGAATGGCACCAGGCATAATACTGGAGCTCCTGACTTGCAGATGGTCTGTATGGGAACTCTGAAACAAGAAATATTATATTCACTGGTAAAAGCTGCAACAGGCGAAATGAACAAACATCACAGCACCCTGCCTCAGTGCTCCTCTCAATAGCCCCCCCAGCCCTGATACAAGCAGTGGGCTGGGTCTTCAGAGTACAATATACATATATATAATGTCTTGAAAAAGTATTCACCCCCCCTGAAATGTTCCCCGCGTTGTCATGTTACAACCAAAAACGTAAATGTATTTTATTGGGATTTGATGTGATAGACCAACACAAAGTGGCACATAATTGTGAAGTGGAAGGAAAATGAGAAATGGTTTTCAAAATTGTTTACAAACAAATATGTAAAAAGTGTGGCGTTCATTTGTATTCAGCCCCCCGGAGTCAATACATTGTGGGACCCCCTTTCCTGCAATTCCAGCTGCAAGTCTTTTTGATGATGTCTCTACCAGCTTTGCACATCTAGAGAGGGACATTTCTGCCCATTCTTCTTTGCAGAATCGCTCAAGCTCTGTCAGATTGGATGGAGAGCGTCTAGGAACACCAATTTCCAAGTCTGGCCACAGATTCTCCATTGGATTTGGGTCTGGACTGTGACTGAGCCATTCTAAACACATGAAGATGCTTTGATCTAAACCTTTCCATTGTAGCTCTGGCTGGATGTTTCGGGTCGTTGTCCTGCTGGAAGGTGAACCTCTGCCCCGGTCTCACGTAATTTGCAGACGCTAACAGGTTTTCTTTTAAGATTTCCCTGTATTTGGCTCCATCCATCTTCCCATCAACTCTGACCAGCTTCCCTGTCCCTGCTGAAGAAAAGCATCCCCATAACATGATGCTGCCACCACCATGTTTCACGGTGGGGATGGTGTGTTCAGGGTGATGTGCAGTGTTAGTTTTCCGCCATACATAGCATTTTGCTTTTAGGCCAAAAAGTTCAAGTTTGGTTTCATCTGACCAGACCACCTTCTTCCACATGTTTGCTGTGTCCCCCACATGGCATCTCACAAACTGAAAACAGGACGTCCTATGGCTTCCTTCCAACAATGGCTTTCTTCTTGCCACTCTTCCATAAAGGCCAGATTTGTGGAGTGCACAACTAATAGTTGTCCTGTGGACAGATTCTCCCACCTGAGCTGTGGATCTCTGCAGCTCCTCCAGAGTTCCCATGGGCCTCTTGGCTACTTCTCTGATGAATGCTCTCCTTGCCCGGCCTGTCAGTTTAGGACGGCCATGTCTTGGTAGGTCTGCAGTTGTACCAGACTCTTTCCATTTTTGGATGATGGACTGAACAGTGCTCTGTGAGATGGGCAAAGCTTGGGGTATTTTTTTTATAATCTAACCCTGCTTTAAACTTCTCCAAAACTTTATCCCTGACCTGTCTGGTGTGTTCCTTGGCCTTCATGATGCTGTTTGTTCACTAATGTTCTCTAACAAACCTCGGAGGGCTTCACAGAACAGCTGGATTTATACTGAGATTAATCGCTTCTGCGCCGCCCCATAGCAGAAATACTGATACAGGGCGGCACGGGTGCGCAAAATCATGTATTTATACACGTGATTTTGCAGTTTGTGGCCTTGGCTGTCAGTCATCCAGTCCAGTCAGGCACCCAGCGATCTCCGAGGATTTCGGATGGGGGAGAGACCTGTATGTAAACAATCTCAACAACAACAGATCTCTCCCCTGTCAGCTCCTGCATAGAAGAGCCATGCAAAGCAGTGTGCTTATAGTGAAGCACACACACAGCTCACACAGTAAAACAGCACACAGTTAACCCTTTGTCGCCCCACGTTAACCCCTTCCGGCCTAGTGCCATTAGTACAGTGTCAGTGCTTTTTATTAGCACTGACCACTGTATTGGTGTCACTGGGGATGTCAGTGACACCAAGTCAGTCCCCCCCCCCCCCCACCAGTGTCAGAATGCCCGCTGCAGTCCCGTTATAAGTCGCTGATAGCCGCCATTACTAGCAAAAGAAAAAAAAAACTCCAGTATCTATACCGCCATTTGTAGATGCTATAACTTTCATGTAACCAATTAATTTACATGTATTAGGATTCCTTTTTTTTTTTATAGCAAAGACATGGAGCAGAATACATTTTGGCCTAAATTTCTGAAAAAAATTTGATTTTTTTTACAATTTTTTTTACTGGACATATTTAATAGCAAAAAGTAAAAAATATAAGGTTTTTTTTTCAAAACGGTCAGTATTTTTTTCGTTTATAGCACAAAAACCGCACAGGTGATCAAATACTACAGAAAGAAAGCTCTATTTATGGGGGAAAAAAGGACATAAATTTCAATTGGGTGCAGCATTGCATGATCGCACAATTGTCAGTTAAAATAATGCAGCGCTGCAACGCAAAAAATGGCCTTCTCAGGAAGGGGGTAAATCCTCTGGTAGGCAAGTGGTAAAATTACACACAAGTGGACTCCATTTACGAATTAGGTGACTTCTGAAGGCAATTGGCTCCACTAGATTTTAGTTAGGGGTATCGAAGTAAAGGGGACTGAATACAAATGCACGACACACTTTTCCGATATTAATTTGTAAATCATTTTGAAAACCATTTATCATTTTTCTTCCACTGCTTGTTGGTCTATCACATAAAATCCCAAAAGTACATTTACGTTTTTGGTTGTAACATGACAAAATGTGGAAAATTTTCAAGGGGCATGAATACTCTTTCAAGGGTATGTATGTATGTATGTATATATATATATATATATATATATATATATATATATATATATATTTTTTTTTTTTTTTTTTTTTTCTATTGGCAGGTCTATTATGCTGAAAAAGGAAACGTGTCTATGTTTATACTCTCATAATCATGGCCTTGTGGATACACAAATCCTCCCAGGTCACAGTGGTAGGATGACAATGCATTGGTGATATCTCACTTTGTGTTTCGGATGTCCAGCTGGTAGATGTTTCCATCTTGACTCCCGGCCAGGATGACCAGGCTGGAGAGGAATGTGCAGCAGTTGAAAGCATCTGACCCATCAAACGTGAAAACCTGCCAAAGAGTGAAAGAAAGAAAACTCCTCAGTATGGCTACAGAGAGGAAACTGGAAGAGCAACTTCATGAATCATTCTTGGTTATAAAGAGAACCTATCACCATCAGCAACATGGCAACTTAGTATATGGAAGGGGGGGGAAATAAAACAAACCACAAAGAGCTGTTTTACACCTCTGTCTTTTCAAAAGATCACTCCTCTCGTAGCTTCGGAACTCCCTTCCCATAATGCAGTGTAGATCCCTACTGACTTTCTGAGTGCATTACATTGTACTAGAGTGTGCACGTGTGGGGCAATGTCGGAGTTGACAAAAAGTTTGATATCTGCATAAAAATGAAATCCCAGGTTTGGGAGGTAGAGTTTGTTGTGTGCTGGCACCCTGCAATATATTTCATCATCCCTTCCCATGCCAGTTTGTAGACTTGACTCTACATTAAGGCTCTCTTTAGGTTCCCAGTATGTGGCACCTATAAAGCCTGTAAGGTCACCGGCTCATCACACAAAGTGTGATAAGACATTCAGCCATTTCTATGACTATCCTGCAGAAGGAAAAATATATTCTGTCTCCTTCCCAATTATTCTAAATAATTGAGATTTCCAAAGTCACTAGTAATATATATATATACATATACACACACATACATACAGTACATACATACATGTAAAAATATACACACTCACACTATATTGCCAAAAGTATTGGTCGGCCGGCCTTCACAAGCACATGACCTTTAATGGCCCCCCAGTCTTAGTCCGTAGGGTTCAATATTGAGTTGGCCCCGCCCTTTGCAGCTATAACAGCTTCAACTCTTCTGGGAAGGCCGTCCACAAGGTTTAGGAGGGTGTCTATGGGAAGGTTGGACCATTCTTCCAGAAGCACATTTGTGAGGTCAGGCACTGATGTCGGGGGAGGAGGCCTGGCTCGCAGTCTCCGCTCTAATTCATCCCAAAGGTGTTCTATGGGGTTGAGGTCAGGACTCTGTGCAGGTCAGTCAAGTTCCTCCACCCCAAACTCGCTCATCCATGTCTTTATGGACCTTGCTTTGTGCCCTGGTGCGCAGTCATGTTGGAACAGGAAGGGGCCATCTCCAAACTCTTCCCACAAAGTTGGGAGCATGAAATTGTCCAAAATGTCTTGGTATGCTGATGCCTTAGGAGTTCCCTTCACTGGAACTAGGGGGCCAAGTCCAACCCCTGAAAAATAACCCCACACCATAATCCCTCCTCCACCAAACTTTACATTTGGCACAATGCAGTCAGGCAAGTACAATTTTCCTGGCAACCACCAAACCCAGACACATCCATCGGATTTCCAGACAGAGAAGCGTAATTGGTCACTCCACTGCTCTAGAGTTCAGTGGCGGCGTGCTTTACACCACAGCATCCGATGCTTTGCATTGCACTTGGTGAGCAGTTGAGCGTGGAATATTTAGTAGCCAGGAAATGTCACGGATGGACTTATTGCACAGGTGACAACCTATCACGGGACCACGCTTGGAGTCACTGAGCTCCTGAGAGCGATCCATTCTTTCACTAATGTTTGTAGAAGCAGTCTGCATGCCTAGGGGCTTGATTTTATACACCTGTGTCCATGGAGGTGATTGGAGCACCTGAATCCAATGATTTGGAGGGCAGGCCCAATACTTTTGGCAATATAGTGTGAGTGAGTGTGTGTGTATATATATATATATATATATATATATATATATATATATATACACACACACCCTGCAAGATAGTTAAAATAGGCTGCCATCTCCCAACTTATCTTACTGGGAATGTCGATCTATTGCTGTGTAATCACATGACTAGCTTTTATTTACCACAGTTCCTTATCTGCAAGCATACTGGTAGAAATGCCCTGTCACATGACTCTCCTATAAGAATGGACAGTTGTTGACCCATCATGGCTTCATTCTGTTCCCATAGTCCACTCCAAGCAGTTGTGTGAAAAAATAAGTACACTCCATGGATATTGTTGACTTTTTAAAGAAAACATTAAATATTCATTTAGACAAAAGAAAAAAAAAAAAATGAAAACATGCCTTTTTAATCATTTATGCAACAAAAATATCAATAGATGTAATGGTGTTCTGTGGAAAAAAATAATTACACCCTTGGCCTCAGAAGCTGGTACTGGGCCCTGTACTAGAGATGACGTCTTGTAAGCATTTTGTATAACTGGCCCCCAGTCTCTGACATTGACCAAATCAGGGCTATGACCAGGGTAGCCCATAACCCTCTATTTGTTCTCTTTAAAAATGGATTTGCGAGTATGCTTCAAATCTTTATCATGTTGAAAGATCCATTACTAGTTTACATTTAACGTTTGGACAGATGGTCTCACATTCTCATCAAGCACATTTTGATATGATGCAGAATGTACAGTTGACTCAATGACTGCCCAGGCCCTGAAACAGCAAAGCAAGCCCAAGCCAGGGGCGGACAGACAACTCATGGGGCCCCCGGGCAATAGGGGATCATGGTCCCCTGTGTCCTTGCCCAAACTCAAAAAAGCCTATGAAAAAGGTACCAGGGGCATCTCATGGGGCCCATTTGTTAAAGATATTTATTTAAGAGGTTGTAGAATGAATAACCGTATCACCCAGTAAATGGTCTCCATTCAGTAGCCAAAAAAGGCATGCTAAAAAAAGGGATTGTGAAAAGGGATTCACAGAAAAGCGGCTACATTATGAACAGAATGTGATACTCAGAAAAATTTCCAAAAATTATGCTTTATTACACATACAAATTTGACATATGGGCAATCGCCCTGGTTTACCATCACCTCAGTATGAGACAATACACACAGACCTAAAAACCATATAAAAGTCTCATAAATTGCACTACAGTGAGAGTGCTATATATTTTAACCTGTCCCTGTAAAAATATGTATATTGGTAAGACCAAAAGACAACTTAAAGTACGAATAGGTGAACATCTTAGAGACATTAGGTCAAATGACCCTGAAAGCAATCTTGCTCAACATTATGCTAAATATCATGGAGGTAAACTGGATGGTACAAAAGTGAAAGGTTTCTATGCATTGCACTTTCCACAAAGGAGAGGTGATTTTGATAGAGAACTGCTTAAGAAGGAGAAATATTGGATATATAAACTTGATACATTGTACCCAAAGGGGTTAAATGTGGAATGTGATCTCCAAGTATTTTTGGATAAATAGATCTACATAGTTATGTACCCTTATATTGTTAGGTACTGGCTAACATATGACTTTTTTCAGTTTTCATTAATAGTTGAACTATATGTTAAATAACTAAGGAAAAATCCCCCCCTCTTTATTTTTTTGCATTTGGGAATAACAGTGATGACCTTATGTTATAAATTCGAGTATAGCTCCAAAAATGTAAAAGGATCGATTGTTGAACTAATTATGCTTTTCTCCCCTGATAATAAATATACCGTGAAATGGGTATTTCAAAATTTGGGTATTTTTGATAAAATAATCTATAGTGAGATTTCTTAGTTTATATTGCCATCTTGTGGCAGTTTCGTGGTAATTTACACTGCACTCCTAGGAAATGTTGACTCAATGAATAGGTCTGGTGATTCTGTCATCAATATCGCCATCTTCTGGTGAGAGTGTGGTAATTTTTCAACGGATTAGTATATTTAATTTATGGTCTTTTTATTTGCATACGCATTGTCAAAATTGCCAAGCCTTTCCTCTCCTTGATATTTCTAGTCGCCTGTCTTTTTAATTATATTATACGCCGCACAGCGCGCTCCCAGCCCAAAGACCGGGGTGTTGCTGAGAGCCCCAGGTCCCGTTCTAACCTGGGACTCCCAAATCTGGGTCACATGATTGCTGTGATAGCCTCTGATTGGCTATCACAATGATCAGTCATTGTATAGCCAGCCCCCCTTGGTTTTTTCTCCCTCTATGAATGGAGGAGAGAGATACATTGTATCTCTCTAACTCCTGACATAGAGAAAAAAAAAAGTTTTTTTAAAAAAAGATAAATAAATATTAAAAAAAAACAAAAAAAACCTAGATCAAGGTTTGTTGTGGTTCAGTGCCAGGGTAAGTGTTTAGGTCAGGGTCGAAGGTCAGGATTTTTGTTTTAAAATTGGTATCAGTGTCAGTGTGTTTTAGGTAAACAAAAAAACAAAACAAAAAAAACAAAACAAAATGCTAACTATTGTTTCTGGGCTGTACTTCGGGTACAAACAACAAATAACATACACATATATGGTATCGCTGCAATCGTCAAGAGCTGGAAAATGTATTTTGGGTTAGTCTTTGGCGGTAGGTTATGGTAGTAACAAGAAACACACAGCTAAATTTAAAATAATTATTTTTTTTTTTACTATTTTGGGCCAGTTTTCCTTTGATAATAACAAAAAAAAATCAGGAGTTATCCATTACCATTTGCCACCAAAAGAAAGCCCAATTTGTCCTGAAAAAAAACGTGGTATAATTCACCTGGATGTACAAAGTAGTTGTGGTGATATGTACGGTTTTACAAACACATGTCAACGTTGCAAAATTGTGCTTAGGCATTAATATTTGTTTTACCCTTAGGCATAAAGGCGTAAAAAACGATTTTTACCAGTGATCTTTTTCTCTGAGGGGTTGCTGACCTAATGCAGTCCCTTTTTTACCCTGCTCCTTCTCCCTACACACACCCTTACTCCATGCCCTTTCCCCCCTTCATTTTTTTTTCTTTTTTCCTGCTGTTTTATTCCTACTCTTCTCCATTTCCCCTTCTACAACCATCTTAATTTCTATATTCCCTTTGTAACCTCAGTCTACCAGCCAGTTTGCTGATCCACTACATTTATTATTATTATTATTATTATTATTATTATGTTTGCTATACTTGGATTGATTGTTTTTCCAATGATCTGCATCTTGAATTCTTCCACAGAATCCTCCTTGTCTTTGTACATTTTCTAATGAAAATCAATAAATCAGAAGAAAAATTGACAATCTCTTAAAATCCTTTTCCAGGCTCATAGAAAGAATGTTGTGGATGCCTGAGGGCCTTAGAGAGCTTTATTGATTTTGGTATGAAGACACCACACATGTCAACAGCGAAGAGAACACTAGACCCTAAATACAGTATCTGAAGTTTAAAGGGGAGCTCCAGCCAAAAGGGGAAGTTCCGCTTTAAGGCCTCGTCCCCCGATTCCCATCAAGGATTGGTACCTTTGGGAAGCGGGTACCAGATTTTGACAGGTACCCGCTCCCACTTCCACTGCGATCGCATTGGAAGGCGATCAGTATTGGAAGCTGTCCTACCTCCCCATAGTCTTCTGGGACATGTGAAAGGTCCCAGAAGACTACGGGACCATTCACAAGGCGCAGCGTTACTCACACATGTGCAGTGGGCACCCAGCTGTGCAGCCGCAAGCTGTCACAGCTGAATGCCCACACTTAAGATGCCGGCTCTGGGGAGAGAGAACAACCTGTGAAACTAGCTGTGGTAAGGACACTACTGGATCGCGGGACAGGTGAGTGTGTATTTTTTAAAAGCAGCAGTTCCACTTTTTGTAGCTGCTTTTATTTTTTTAGATTTTTGACTGGAGCTCCACTTTAAATAAAACAGATTTCACCTGTTCTAATCATTAGCATATGGAACACATGAACTTAATGTAATGGATTTGAAGTGGTGAAGTACTATGCAGCTTTGGTTCTATGGGCCATTGTACTGCTGGTACTGCTCTCCAGGAAGCCGGACTTTGCACAACCTTTCCTCAAATGTGGTTAAATAAAATATAATAAAATAATATAAAATGAATTGCTCATACAAAACAATCTTTGCTAATAAACATATGAATCCAAAAAGAAGAGGCACTTACAGATTGGCGGCTGTGCAGACTGACTCCCTCCAACTTCTTATCTTCCCGTGCTAACAGCAGCAGCTTCCCTTCAGTACCAATCTCTCTGTCATCTGCAAGAAGTGAAAGGCAATTTATCTATTTGTGTTCAATTTTAAATAAAGTACTGTGTGGAGAGGGTCTCTCTGCAGTCCTGTCTCTTCTCCCCAGATCTCAGAGACCCTACCCTGCCCAGTGAACCTTTATCTAGAGCAGTGGTCTCCAAACTGCGGCCCTTTGCTTGCCTCTATCCAGCTCCCACTGACACCAACAAGATGGCACCATTTCTTCCACTGGCACAAACTATGGAGCATTTTTCCTTCCACTGACACCAATGATGGGGCACAATTCCTCCCACTGATATAAACAATTAGGTACTATTCCACCAACTAATACCAATGATGGGGCACTATTCCTCCCACTGATACCAATGATGGGGCACTATTCCTCCCACTGATACCAATGATGGGGCACTATTCCTTCCTCTGATAACAATGATGGGGCACTATTCTTCCCACTGATAACAATGATGGGGCACTATTCCTCCCACTGATACCAATGATGGGGCACTATTCCTTCCTCTGATAACAATGATGGGGCACTATTCCTCCCACTGATACCAATGATGGGGCACTATTCTTCCCACTGATAACAATGATGGGGCACTATTCCTCCCACTGATACCAATGATGGGGCACTATTCCTTCCTCTGATAACAATGATGGGGCGCTATGCCTTCAACTAATACCAAGGATGGGGCACTATTCCTCCAACTAATATCAAGGATGGGGCACTATGCCTTCAATTAATACCAAGGATGGGGCACTATTCCTCCCACTGATACCAATGATGGGGCACTATTCCTTCCTCTGATACCAATGATGGGGCACTATTCCTCCAACTAATACCAAGGATGGGCACTATTCCTCCAATACCAAGGATTGGCACTATGCCTTCAACTAATACCAATGATGGGGCACTATGCCTTCAACTAATACCAAGGATGGGGCACTATTTCTCCAACTAATACCAATGATGGGGCACTATTCCTTCCTCCGATATTAAAGGATGGGGCACTATTCCTCCCACTGATACCAATGATGGAGCACTATTCCTCCCACTGATACCAATGATGGGGCACTATTCCTCCCACTGATACCAATGATGGGGCACTATTCCTCCCACTGATACCAATGATGGGGCACTATTCCTTCCTCTGATAACAATGATGGGGCGCTATGCCTTCAACTAATACCAAGGATGGGGCACTATTCCTCCAACTAATATCAAGGATGGGGCACTATGCCTTCAATTAATACCAAGGATGGGGCACTATTCCTCCCACTGATACCAATGATGGGGCACTATTCCTTCCTCTGATACCAATGATGGGGCACTATTCCTCCAACTAATACCAAGGATGGGCACTATTCCTCCAATACCAAGGATTGGCACTATGCCTTCAACTAATACCAATGATGGGGCACTATGCCTTCAACTAATACCAAGGATGGGGCACTATTTCTCCAACTAATACCAATGATGGGGCACTATTCCTTCCTCCGATATTAAAGGATGGGGCACTATTCCTCCCACTGATACCAATGATGGAGCACTATTCCTCCCACTGATACCAATGATGGGGCACTATTCCTCCCACTGATACCAATGATGGGGCACTATTTCTCCCCCTGACACCAATGATGGGGCACTATTCCTCCCACTGATACCAATGATGGGGCACTATTCCTCCCACTGATACCAATGATGGGGCACTATTCCTCCCACTGATACCAATGATGGGGCACTATTTCTCCCCCTGACACCTACAATGGGGCACAATTCCCCCCACTAATACCAATGACTGGACACTATTCCTCTGTCCACTGACTACAAGCACTATATAATTTTTTTTACTCCTACTGACACTGACAATTTCTACTCCCACTGGGCACTCCTGCCCTCCTAAAGAGACCCCTGGTCTAGAGCACAGAACCAAGTTTTGCTCTCCCTGCATACAGATCAAAGCTGCTGACTCTCACACAACTCCAACAGTGTCCATGACCAACATGCAGTTAGAAGTAAAAGCAGACCCCTCACAACCTCTTCCCTGCTTGGCCATCCAGGATTACACTGGTCGAATAGCAATAATCTGTTCAAAACCTCTTCCTCCCTGCTCTTGCCTATACCCCCCCCCCCCCCCCCCTCCTTCACCAAGATCAAGTCTTTTTATTTTCATTCAAGAAGGCTTTATTGAGAAGGCAGGTACAGCGGACAAATTATAGAACAGTAAATCATGCTAAAAAAAAAAAAAAAAAAAAAAAAAAAAAACAAAGGACAGTTGCAGGTACAGCTCCTAGGCCTCTACAAAGCCACAGATTCAAAAACAATAATAACAGTACAAAGGTCATCGCACACAGGACACTAAACAAGAGATTTGCTATAAAAAAGAGTAACTAGTAGTCAGGTATGTGTCAACCCAGAGGGTCTCGCAGCAGTCGCGCATCTGGACCGGCTCCAGCGGGCCAAGTACAGGGGTATCCACCTATGGGGCCCAAAGCTTGTTAAATTTACTCGGGCATCCTCTATGCTGGTGAATGAATTTCTCCAATCTTAAAGAGTCTCCTATAGCCATTACGAAAGGGGGCGAAGCCGGCTTCCAGCGGATTAGAATGAACTTACGAGCCACAAATAGAGCTCTGGAAATAGCTTCCCGGATGAAATCACATGAAATATTATCACCAAAAACATTAAACAGGCAACATTTGGGATTTAAAGGCACAGAAGAGTGAAATGACAATGTCAGTCACCCTCTTCCAATACAGGTGAAGCTTGGGACATCTCCAAAATAAATGGAGAAGAGTGGGGAGCGTTGGGTGTTGATGCTGGCAGTCCCCGCTGCACTGTGTGGTTTCCTCTGCCAATCCTTAGACGACAAAAGGGCTAGTGGAAGGAACCACAACACACAGTGGGAATCCAGGCATCCAACATACCCAGATATTGAAGAATTGAGATTAAAAATCAGGAGGACCACGATTAAAGTGGTCCTAAAGCCTAAACATTTTTTATCTTAATGCATTCTCTGCATTTCGGCAACAAATGTTTAGGTAGCAGTATGCCCCCTTACCCCCCTTATACTTACCTGAGCCCTCAGGCTTTGCCATTGTCTCCTGCTGTTGTTAGTCGAATCTGCAATGAGGGAGCAGTGCTGAGCCCTGCTGTCTATGTCTATGGACGCAGGCAGCACAGCTTGGGATCGCGCCCACAGGTGTCCCACAATATGAAGCGCCTTCTTATAATAGCACACTGAAAGGGGATAAGCCAGAAGCGCCAGTGGGAGACCTGAAAAAATGAAGATCAGGTCCACACTGAGCAATTCCATTGCACAGAGCATGAAAGTAGATCATGTTTATTATTAAAAAAAAAATGTTTGACTTTACAATCACTTTATCTCTTCAAACCAATGGAACTTGGCAGCACAGTCAGTGGCAGCATTAACTGCTTGCTTGGCAAGGCAGGCTCTTCTTTCATGTTTTAAAAACAGAGTGAGTCACTTTAAACTAACGTGTTTTATTAGTTTTTATTGTAGTAATACAATCTTTTTCTTACAAATAAACATTTTGTACATGACAAAGGCTTCTTAGAGCACGGCGGGTTTCCAAGGTCACAACACACCAGTTTCCTGCCTTGAGGATGGATTTGTCTTATTGAAATTTAAGACAGAGCTGTCTGATAAATGATAAGTCACTGCGAGGGAGGGGTTAGTTGGAGGGAGGCGTTAGAGCCCCCAAAGGTGAGAGGTCATGGTTTATGGGGAGAGGAGTCACTGTTCCAAGGAGCAGGAGTCACTTCTCTTTTGGGGGGGGGAAACCTGATTTAATTCCCTTGTGTGAATTCCAGCTTGAGCTATCTCCAAAACTGAGTTTCTTGTCTTCCCCCCAGCCCGGACACCACCCCCTATTGACTTCTCCGTCACATCCAACAACGCCACCATCAAACCCGCCTCGCAGGCCAGAGTACTTGGTGTCATTCTGGACTCCAACCTATCCTTCCAGCCCCAAGTCCAATCTTTAACAAACTCGTGCAGACTCCACCTCCGCAACATCGCCAAAATCCGCACGTTCCTAACCCCAGAAACCACTAAACAGCTCATCCCACTCCCTCATCATATCACGACTCGACTACTGCAACTCCCTCCTCACTGGCCTGCCTCGCCGCTGGCTATCCCCGCTTCAGTCAATCCTGAATACGGCTGCCAGACTCATTCACCTTTCCAACCGCTCCATTTCCGCCACCCCCCTCTGCCAATCCCTCCACTGGCTTCCGATTGCGCAACGGATCAAATTTAAAATCCTAACGCCGACGTACAAAGCCGTCCACCACACTGCCCAGAACTACATCACTGACCTAATATCCAAGTACCGCCCAACACGCACACTCCGCTCCTCACAAGACCTCCTTCTCTCTAGTTCCCTGGTCTCCTCCTCCCATGCCCACCTCCAGGACTTCTCCAGGGTGTCACCCATCCTCTGGAACTCCCTGCCTCAACCCATCAGATTATCACCTACTCTCCTCTCCTTTAGGCGCACCCTGAAAACCCATCTCTTCAGGGAAGCCTACCCCACCCCCTGTTAACTTGCTGACCTCCTCCACTCTTCCTACCACCCATCCCCCACAGCTTTCCCCCCCTCCTGTGCACCATCCCCTCCCTCCTAGATTGTAAGCTCCAAAGAGCAGGGCCCTCGATCCCCTCATGTTTTGCATTGTATTGGTATTGTTCTGTCACATGTTCTGTCCCCCTTTGTAATGTACAGCGCTGAGCGAACCATTGGCGCTTTATAAATACTGTATAATAATAATAATCAGGCTCTATAAACAACAAGCTTTTTCAACAGGTGTTAAGGAGACAGGAAAAGTAAAAAGGAAAATACAAAAATTATAAAATTTATTTTGTCCAGTCCTGACCATGACAGAGGAATGTGTGCATGAAACCAAGATATGTTCTCTTACATCGATCTCAAAAAAAAAAAAAAAAAAAAAGATCAATATCACTTACTGGGCGTTGTCTCTGCTGTCCCAAGATTAACTGTATTGTCTGCGACACCGAGAGATATTCCATTAATGGGAACTCCGCAATCTGCCACAACAGCAAGGCATGACGATTTCCCACAATCCCAGAGCCTGGCTGTTCCATCCCGTGAGCAGGACACGACATTCCTCCCACGGTCCACTATCGCCAGGTCCAAGACTCCTGCAAAACAGAGAGGTTCTCTTACACTGTGCGAGGCATGTCTGTATTTGGCTCCTGAAAACTGCTGCAGTTTGTGATGTTTCTGTGACAGAAGCCTCAGCATATTTTTGTCAACAATATCATTTAATGCTTTTATGTCACAAATTGATCATACTCATAAAATTAATTTATGACCCTTGCAAAAATGTTAATAGAAGAATGGGCAAAGTGACAGATTCGCATTAAAAATGATCTTCAGGAAAATGCTACAATGATAACCTAGACCAGCCTTTCTCAACCTTTTTCAACACAGAGGAACCCCTGAAATAACTTTCTGGTCTCAGGGAACCCCAGCAAACAATTACTATGCCTAAAACTTAGTGTGATGGTCAGTGGGAAGAATGCACCTTCCACTTGTGTCATTGGGAAGAATTACCCCCTTAAAAGATAGCTACAAAGATCAATGGTGTCAGTAGAAATGTATCTGAGAGTCAGAAACGTCTCATTGCTCAATCTCTGAAGGAACCCTAGGGATCCACGGAACCCTGGTTGAGAAACCCTGACCTAGACTGTATAATCTATTCTGCATTTTGCCTTTATCCAACCTGCTTTGTGTCCTTTGAATGTGACGGGGCAGCTGGCATCTTCCACAGACCAGATCTTCACCTGAGCGTCCATCCCGCCACTCAGCACTACCATACCAGATGGGAAGAATGTGCAGCAGTTGACATCAAAGATGTGACCTTCCAGGACTCTCTGGAAGAAGAGCAGACATGTTATGTCAAATCTTTACATGGGAGTTGTAACGGAACCGACCCCAGACTGCGCATGGGTACTTCCGTTAGACTACCGCTTCCCCGTCCGACCACCGACAACAGACACACAGCAGACCATACAAGACTAGATGACACCAGTCTTGAAGTAAACCAGGAAGTAGACTACTTTATTTTAACACAGATACAAGATATATACACTCAAGGGGCAATACCCCCATCCCTGCATAATGACACAGGGTGGGGCAATCTACATTTAGTAACAAGAGACACACCAGCAGATAGTCCCATCAGGAGGGAGGGCTGCTGGAGACACCCCCCCACCAAGCCAATACCCATAAAACACATACATCCCACAATAGTTTGCTCCCAAGCAAGACACACAATAGAACAATGGGATGCAACCACATGGCATTAAAGAATCAACAACCCCCACCCCAATATTAGGACAAATCACCCTGTACCCCTAACAGGCACAAGGTGACTTACACATAAGAGGGATAAGGGGAGCTGAGACAGGGGTCTCCCCACCTCTCCAAAGTGAGCTGGGTTCCATGGGCCCCCCACTCAAAGTGATTCCCATGACAGGAGTTCCTTGAACAAATCAAAAAAGGATAATAGAACAGTGGAAAGGGATAGCACTGGATTTATATGCAGACGGGGTCAGGGGGAACAGCTTAATTAAAGCTGAAGTTTAAGCTGCTTATATTTTGTATTTACTGGTCCCTCCCTCATAAAAAATGCTAAAATTTTTAAATAAAATGTTCACTTTTATTTTTACATACTTTATATTGGACCTAGTGATATCACCACTGGGTTTCTGTGCTTTTCTATGCAATGCTGGCAGATCATGGCTAGTGAGTGGGGCCAACAGGGTGCTACCTGAAAACATCACAACACCCTGCCTCAGTACTTCTTTCATGAGCCCTTGGTTCCCGATGTAAGCCATGGACTAGCTCTTGGGAGGACTTATTCAAATATCAAAATGCCTTGATGGGTGAGTTTCAGTCTGCAGGAGTGGGGGGGTTTTAGGCAGAGTGCATTTGTATTAGCACGTGCGATGCTGAGCCTCCATGACTGAAGAAACTTAAGTCCAATGAAAGGAAAGGTCAGCCAGGGACAGTCAGACCGGGAATAATGCTGGACACGTGGACTGGCCAGGAAATTAGCTCTACCTGACTTTCTGCAGCTTTCAATGCACAATGTGAAGAGCTCACAGTGTGCAGTGAAATCAAAGTAAGCCATTTCAGTCCAGGAGAGGTGTCTGTACAAGTGTGCAAGTCTGAAGAGCAGATTTACCATTATTTGGGAAGGGAACAGTAAGCCAGGTTCTTGAACAAGGCTTAGGCCTCATGCACACTGGACATGTTGCCATCTCTCCTAGACTCCTTTCCTCATGGTAGCAGCGTTCTGATAGAAAAAAAAAATGCTTGATGTTTGGAAACGTATGGAACGCGTTTAGGCCCATCAAGCACTTGGGCATTAATTAATTTAATTGGCCAAAGTAATCATTTATTCTGGCCATTGAAATGAATTAACGCTCAAGCACTAAACGTGTTCACAGCGTCAAGCATTTTTTTCTGCCAAAACTCTGTTGCTCCTGGACACGCTGGCAGTGGGTTTTTTTTCTGCCTTTAACCTCTTCACCCGGCCAAACGCAAATGTGCGGCCTCCCGGCGTCTGAGCCTAGACGTCGAGCGGCCGCACATTTGCGTTCTATTAAAAAAGGACATATGTGCCGAGAGCGCGTGCCCTGCGCGCTCCGGCACACGGTCCGGTACTCACGGAAAGGTCCTAATCTCCACTTTCAATCGGGACCTTTTCCAATCATGTGACCGCCGTGACGGCGCGTCACATGACTGTAAACTCCGCGCTGCCTCCCGGCTTCTGAAACTCTTAAAGGGCTGGGAGGCGCTGGCGTAAAGGGGTTAAACACCCCTGCCTCTAAGGGCTCATGTGCACTGCAGCTGATAAACTGACGTTTAGGAGCTTTTCTGCGTTTTTTTTCAGCAGCCCCTGAACTCACCCTAATGTTTTCCTATGTGTCCATGTACACATCGTCGTTTATAGGCAGTTGAGTTTACAGTCGTTTTTTTGAACACAGAAAACTTGCGTTCAGCAGTAGATTTTACTGGCGCTTCAGCTTGTAAACGCGGCTAACCACGTATATAATTTTTTTTTAACTCTTCCATTTCCAGATGCTGCCCAGAGCCTTTTTTCATCATGAAAAATGCATGCAAAGCGTTTTCCCGGACTCAAATGGACCCGGTACACCATACTTTGAGGTTTTGCATGAAAAAAAAATATGTTAGACACGGCTGCAATAATTTCTGCACAGAAATGAGCCAGAACATCCAAACACCACAAAAAATAAAAAATAAAGACAGCTAATCTCAACAAATACTGCTCTCTCTGCTTCTGCTCTCTCTCGTTCTCTCAAAATGTCTGAAATAGTTAATTTTTCACTATTTTTCAGTGCTTTCTGGGAATATTGGAAGGTCTCCTGAGGTTATGTTAAAAAAAACGCTTGCAAACGCTCATAAACGCTCATAAATGCGATATGCAAACGTGGTTAAACAGACGTTTTTTATAATCTATGTTTTCCAGCACTCAGTTTTCATCGTTCAGAAGTGTCCCGTGTACACGAGGCCTAAATGCCTATGTGTGCATGGGCATATAGCCTAACATGCATGGGCAGCCAGACGACCCTAACAGCCATGTTAAAACATCCAGTGTGCATGAAGCCTTACAGTTTACCTGCCAATGTCTCTATTCTGGATGCTTTCTCCTCTCAGGACCATTGGTGAGAAGTAATCTCAAGTGGACAGTGTCTTGGAGTGGACAATCCCAAGTGGACAGTGTCTTGGAGTGGACAATCCCAAGTGGACAGTGTCTTGGAGTGGACAATCCCAAGTGGACAGTGTCTTGGAGTGGACAATCCCAAGTGGACAGTGTCTTGGAGTGGACAATCCCAAGTGGACAGTGTCTTGGAGTGGACAATCCCAAGTGGACAGTGTCTTGGAGTGGACAATCCCAAGTGGACAGTGAACCCTTAGTGTGTGAGATGGAGGCAGGGAAGTATTTCCACAAGGCATTTGGACTAGGGTGGTTTTTCAGGGGGGCAGCGGCATTTTTCTGGGGGGCAATCCCTTGAAAGAAGGGTAGAACAGTGGTTCTCAACCTTCCTAATGGAGTGACCCTTTAATACATCCCATGTTGTGGTGACCCCCAACCATAAAATTGTGAGATTGGATTCATGAAGTGAAGTATTTACCTCCACTGCTGCAACACAGTAGCTGCTTTCTACACAGTAGCTGCTTTCTACACAGTAGCTGCTCTCTACACATTGGAAATATGTTTTTCCGAGGGCGACAGCGTGAAATTTTTGTTTGGGGCAAACTGCCCCACAGGTTGAGAAGAAGGGATAGAAGAAATGCAGCATGGTAACCAGGTGGGATCTGAGAGAGGCTGCTTGATGGTGTATGCAGAGCCTGACTCTTGTTTCCGGGGATGTCTGGAGCTGCGAAGGGGAGTGTCTTCTCCCTCGCCGGGAGTCATAGGACGCCCAGCCGGATCGATGAGAGTCCCACTCAAAGAACAAAGAAATTACCGCTCAGGTAAACGATCCACATAAAACCGAGGCAGGTGCCGGCTCTGGCTCACCACCACATGTAATGCAATCAGGAAGAAGGGTTAGCCGCACACCGGATGGTTGATGATATCACAATAGTTTATTGAATCCATAGGACATAAAAAGCACCAGGACAAGTACAGAACCGTTGACGCGTTTCACACGATCACGTGACTATTCATAGGGTTATTTTATGTCCTATGAATTCAATAAACTATTGTGATATTTCATCAACCATCCGGTGTGCAGATAACCCTTCTTCCTGGGAGTCCCACTCAGCCGTCATTCTGCTATTGATTGGGCGGGGGAACAAGTTAAGGTTAAGGAGTTTATTTACTAAAGCTGGGGAGTGCAAAATCTGGTGCAGCTGTGCACAGAAACCAATCAGCTTTCAAGTTACGTTTTGTCAAAGCTTAATTGAACAAGTTAGAAGCTGATTGGCTACCATGCACAGCTGCACCAGATTTTGCACTCTCCAGTTTTAGTAAATCAACCCTTAAGCTCCACATTGCTTCAGTTTAGCCTAACTCCAACAGGTTAGGCCTGTTCCTTACCCTGGTTTCTCCATTATTAGTCTGCCAGACCTTCATTGATCCATCGGTGCTGGTAGACACACCAAGACCCCCTCCGCTGGAGATATCCAGACATGTGACCTGTGAGGAAGACATAAGTGTACGGTAAAACAGGGATGATGGATATTTTACTTAAAGGAAATCTGATCTGTATTTAAAAATAAGACATCTGAATATCAAATCTGAAGACTGATTAACACAGCATGAAATAATTACTTTTTTGTTACGATCAATCCCATGTTATCTGGCCATTCCACAGAGTGATCTGTGATCGATCTAGACTTGAACGACTATGAACAAAGCGATTCATCAGTGATACACATATCTAACAACGCAACACATACTATTGTTCTGCAATTTGTCATTGACTGGTAAATAGACAAAAATATGATCAACCCATCATAAATGTAAACGGTCACTTAAAACCTATATTTGATTGACCTGTATTCTAACTGGGTCTATGAGACATGCACAAGCGATGGGCGAAATTCCACCATGGCTGATTGAGTCAAAGCTGCTGAATCCACTAAACAGAGAGTCTCTGGTCTGCAATTATTTATGATATTATGATTAGTTATATAATATATATAAATGGCCGGACGGTGGCACTGCAGGATCAGGTGGCTGTTTATAAACGGCCTCCCCGCACCCTGCTTGTGCTCGCTCCCTGGGAGCGCGCAGCACCGCGATCCGGTGCCCGCTGTGTCCTCCGGACACAGTGGAACACCGACGTCGGACGGGACCTCTGTGCTAAATTCCGATCATGTGATCACTGATTGGCCAATCAGTGATCACATGCAGAGTAGTAAGCAAGATGTCGTGACATCATTGCTTACTACGTGTGAAATCTGTGAATGATCACAGAGGTCACATGGTACAAGGCTATTCACAACAGCCTTGTACCATGTGACAAGCTGTGACCAATCACAGCTCACTCAGTAGTTCTCAATGGCTGCAAGAATGCAGCTAGAGAGAAGGAGAAATGATTGCTTTTACATCCTTTATGGGTGTGAAAGCAATCAGTGTAATCAAAAAAAAAAAAATCTTCATCATCCCCCACAAGTAGTACAGTGTCAATATGGTGACACTGCACTGCTAGGGTGACAGTATGTAAAAAAAAAAAAAATAAATAAAAAATATAAAAAACAAAATGTTTACTGTTTTTTACTAAAAATATAACGGAATAAATTTTGCCAAGATTTATGATGAAATACTACTTATTTGCAAATTTTTATAAGAAAAACACTTTTTTAAAAAATGTTTGGACTTTTTAATTTACATAGCAAAAAAAAATAAAAATCCCAGTGGTGGATAAATACCACCAAAATAAAGCTTTATCGGTCTCAAAAAAATGCTAAAAAATTCATATGGGTACAGTGTTGCATGACCGCGCAATTGTCATTCAAATCAGCTCTGAAAGCTGAAAATTGGCCTGCACAGGAAGCGGGTGAAAGTGTCCGGACAGGAAGTGGTTAAATAACCATATTGATAAATGTGTGACCAGCATAAAGCTGAAGTATAATCTACCTACTAGTGGTGCACCGAAATGAACATTCTGGTTCAAAACCGAAAATTCAAAATGCACTTGGCCGAAAACCGAAATACGCAGTTTTTGGAAAAAAATATACTTTGATTAAAAAAAACAAACAATGTATACCCCAATTGTTTTTTAAATATGAAAGAGGATTTTATGGCGAGTAAATAGATACCCAACATGTCATGCTTTAAAAATTATGCATGCCCATGGAATGGCGTGAAACTGCGATACCTAAAAATCTCTATGCGTGACGCTTTAAAAATTTCTACAGGTTAGCAGTGTAAAGTTACGGAAGAGGGCTGGTGCTAGAACTATTGCTCTTGCTCTGACATTCGTGGCATGGCCTACGTATGCGTTCACCACTACGTGCGATCACGGGGGCACTTTAACCTCCCTAGCGGTATGATTATTTCAGATTTTTGGTGCTGAAAGCGGTACCATTTTTTTGCATGGAAATATGTAGTTTTTTTATTGTAGGCTGTAATATTTAGGAATAACTCACTGAAATCTGTCCGAACAAGAGTCTAGTAAACATCCCGGGGATGATAAAATTTGAAACACGAAATCATAAATTATAATTTAATAAATAATCATAAAAAATAATAATATAATAATAATAATACATTTAATTCAATAATATAATCAAACCAAAATCACTGAAATTTGAAATATAGCGCCAAGTTCGCACATCACTGAGCAAAGTCGCAGAATCGTTTTCAGTGTCTGATGAGGAATTTCCCCCACGAATCATTATCACTCAATTCTGCAAGTGGTTCTGATTTACTATCGCTGTTCTCTAGCCGGTCTAAAACCGCTTTTGACCTAAAGGGACGCTTTTTGGACGCCATGGACATTTCTAAGTTTCCAGGCAGAAAGAACAGACAAAATGCAGGCAGGGCGCAGGACAAAGCACTCGGGACAAAATGTATGTGAAATGGCTTGAAACAGCAATGTTTTACTATGTAAAATTCAAAAAAAAAAAAATAAAATTTTTTTTACATTTTCAAATTTCCCGCCGCCGGCGCCCGTACGTCCCGATGTCACAGGGACCGGAACACAGAAGCCGGATGCCGGCATCGGCCGGGGACACTGCAGGGAACACATCGCGGGAGCGAAGGACAAGGTAAGCCCTGCAGGGACTCCCTATGCAGCGCCGCATGGTAAGCCCGAGTGTAGCTCGGGGTTACCGCTTTTGGTACAGAAACTTTACCCCGAGCTACACTCGGGAATACCGCCAGGGAGGTTAAACTTTTTTTAAAAAATATATATTTAATTTTTTTTTTCTTTGCACTGTCCCTTTAAAAAAAATTTTAATCACTTTTATTCTTATCACAAGAAATGCATGCATCCCCTGTGCCAGAAATAATTAGTGACAGGTCCTCTTTATGGAGAGATATGGGGTTAGTAAGACCCCACATCTCTCCTCTGCAATGTAAAGCATTGGATCAAAAAAACAAAAAAAAACAACAACAAAAAAAACAAAAAAAAACAAACATTGATCTAGTGCTTTAAAACAAAATAAAATGGCCGGAAAGGGAAGTGACATCACTCCGGTCCTCCAAGGGCATAGAGATGAGTGGCGGCCATCTTTCCTTCACTCATCTCTATGCCCAGCACCGGGATCGATGGTTTCTCAGGTGAGGCTGAGAACTACCAAGCGGCGGCCTGTGGCTGCAGCAGCGGTGGTGACGGTGGGCGGGAGGGTTTTTTTTCGGTACCTGTATTGGTGCTTTTTTTCCCCCATATGGCCGAAAGAGAGGTGTTTTCGGCCGAATCCCTTCGGCCACCGAAATTTCGGTGCATCCCTACTGCCTACATTTTACTTTCCCTGGTCTGTCCCTCTCTCACTTAAATCTTTTGAAATAAAACCTTTCCATGTTCATCACATTCCTAATTTTAGACCTAGTGATGACTGCTTCTCAATGTAGTGCAGGCAGATCATGGCTGATATGAGGGACTGGCATGGCCTTCTAAAAATTTCAAATGCTCCTCTGAAGAGCCCCCAGCCTTAATGTAAGAAGCAGTGGGCTGTCTCGTGGAAGAACTTTTACAAATATGGAAATACCTTGATGGGTGGATGTTAGTTTGGAGGAGTGGGTGCTCCTAGGCAGGCGGAATTTGTATGCAGACTACCCTAGGTAATGTGGACATGCAGGGGCGGACTGACAACTCATGGGGCCCCCGGGCAATAGGGGATCATGGGGCCCCTGTGTCCTTGCCCAAACTCAAAAAAGCCTATGAAAAAGGTACCAGGGGCATCTCATGGGGCCCCATACTGACCCCGGGCCCTCGGGCAGTGCCCGAGTTTCCAAATGGTCAGTCCGCCCCTGTGGACATGTGATGCTGAGCCTTCACAACTGAAATCCAATGAATGATAGGGAAGGGCCAGAAAAGGGGCGGACTGACTACTCATGGGGCCCCTGGGCAATAGGGGATCATGGGGCCCCTGTGTCCTTGCCCATACTCAAAAAAGCCTATGAAAAAAGGTACCAGGGGCATCTCATGGGGCCCCCTACTGACCCCGGGCCCTCGGGCAGTGCCCGAGTTTCCAAATGGTCAGTCCGCCCCTGTGGACATGTGATGCTGAGCCTTCACAACTGAAATCCAATGAATGATAGGGAAGGGCCAGAAAAGGGGCGGACTGACTACTCATGGGGCCCCCGGGCAATAGGGGATCATGGGAGCCCCTGTGTCCTTGCCTATACTCAAAAAAGCCTATGAAAAAGGTACCAGGGGCATCTCATGGGGCCCCCTACTGACCCCGGGCCCTCGGGCAGTGCCTGAGTTTCCAAATGGTCAGTCTGCCCCTGGGCCAGAACATTCAGGCTGGAAAGCAAAGGCTAGATAATGCTGGTCATCCTCCAGTCAGGAAATGAGACTTGCTGCAACTTCTGATGAACACTGAGAAGCTCACAGTGTGCAGTGAAATCAGCGTAAGCCATTTAAGTACAGGAGTCGAGTATTAAACAATTAAACGATTAACTCCTGGGTTTCTGAGCCTGCTACAGACTTCTCCATAGGAGCCCAAATGTAAACAAAATGTAAACAAAATGCCTCTGCAAATGAAATGACATCACTGCACTTCCTGTCAGTACGGCATCCGTAACTGATAAACTAAAAATGAAGTAATAAAAAAAAATTAAAATTAAATTCCCCCAAAAAAAACATTATATCTCTCTTTTAGCCCATAAAAGACAACTAAATACCTTACACTTTTCTCATGGATCCTTGCGAAGCTGGTATAAGGGGCGAGGAATTTACTGGAGACGTTCTCAGCAGGACAGGAGATCCGCAGGCTTTTCTGCAAAATAGAGAACGGACAAATCTTGTGTTTATGGCTGAATAGCCGAGTCGAGGGTTACTTGAGAAATTATTTCAAGCTGCTAAAATATGGTCTCACTATTCAGGGTAAACCAGTCACATAGGAAGATGGGCACCACGAGCAACAACTGCTCCAGTATGAAGATAAATCTACTTTTATAGAGTGCAGCGCCAAAATATGATGTTATACACTCAACAAGTGAAAAGAAAAGAGAAATCACAAAAAAAGAAATTTACTATGAAACCCTAATGAATACAGTGCTGCGATAAAGTATTTGCACCATTTCTGATTTTTTTTTCCCCCATATTTGTCACACTTAAATGATTCAGATCAAACAAATTTTAATATTACACAAAGATAACCCAAGTAAAAACAAAATACAGTTTTAAAATGATGATTTCATGTATTGCTAAATCATGAATGAACTGTGATTAACCACATTTTTTGGAAAGCAGAGTTCAATTTCACTTGCCACACCCAGGCCTGATTACTGCCAGACCTGTTGAATCAAGAAATTGTTATTATTAGGGCTCGTTCACACTTGACTTTTTTTCCAACTCTTGCAAAACGTCCCTATAGCGTTTGACAAGCGTTGGTCCGGCGTTTGCGGAGCGTTTTTAATGCTCTGCGAACGCTCCAAAAATGCCGTATGCGCGGTTTAGCGGCGGTTGCTAGGCAGTTGCCAAGCGTTAAAAATGCCCCAAAAACGCCTATAATGAAGTTTGAATGGTGTTAACGCTCTGCAAATGCCCCGCAAACGCCGGCCGGGCGTTTGTGGAGCGGCACCATAAACTTGAATTGGAGGCTTCAATTCCTCCTGAGTCGACCAGAGGCGTCCGTTTTGCCGTGACGCGATGCTAACACTCCCGTGTGAGCAGCACTATGTGCTGCAATGTGCAGAATTTTCAGAGGGGTTTGGAAAAAGAAAAAACGCTTCCCAAATGCCTGTCTGCCGCTTGCTGACAAGGCTAGTGTGAACGTAGCCTTACAGGTACTTATATAGTGCCGTCAATTTACACAGCACTTTACATATATATTGTATATTCACCCTCAAGGGGCATACAATCTAAGGTCCCTAACTTACATTCCTACAGACACATACTAGGGACAATTTAGACAGGAGCCAATTCACCTACCAGCATGTCTTTGGAGTGTAGCAGGAAACTGGAGTACCGGAGGAAACCCACGCAAGCACAGGGAGAACATGCAAACTCCAGGCAGGTGGTGCCATGGCTGGGATTTGAACCAACGACCCGAGTACTGCCAGGCAGAAGTGCTACCCATTTAGCCATTGTGCTGCCCAGAAATTACTTAAATAGAAAATGTCTGACAAAGTGAAGCACGCTAAAAGATCTCAAAAAGCAACAACATGCCTCGATCTACAGAAATTCAAGAACAGATGAGAAACAAAGTAATTGACATGTATCAGTCTGGAAAGGATTACAAAGCCATTTCTAAGGCTTTAGGACTCCAGTGAACCATGGTGAGAACCATTATCCACAAACAGAACAAACTTGGAACAGTGGTGAACCTTCCCAGGTTTGGCCGGCCTACCAAAATTACTTCAAGAGTATGACGAGGAGGTCAGAACAAAAGCAAAAGTACTGAAGACCTCACTTGCCTCAGTTAAGGTCAGTGTTCATGATTCAACAGTAGGAAAGAGACTGGGCAAAAATGGCTTCCATGGGAGAGTTCCAAGGCGAAAGCCACTGCTGACCAAAAAGAACACGAAGGCTCCTCTTACGTTTGCCAATAAAAATCTTGATAATCCCCAAGACTTTTGGGCGAATATTCTGTGGACTGATGAGATAAAAGTTGGACTTTTTGGAAGGTGTGCGTCCCGTTACATCTGGCATAAAACGAACACAGCATTTCATAAGAAAAAGAACATCATACCAACGGTCAAACGTGGTGGTGGTAGTGGGATGGTCTGGGGCTGCTTTGCAGCTTCAGCACCTGGACGACTTGCCGTAACTGATAGAAATATGAATTCTGGGTTCTACCACAAAATCCTGAAGGGGAATGTCCGGCCATCAGTTTGTGATCTCAAGCTCAAGCGCACTTGGGTTATGCATCAGGACAAAGATCCGAAATACACCAGCAGGTCCACCTCGGAATGGCTCAGAAAAACACCCCGAATTAAGGTTTTGGAGTGGCCTAGTCATAGTTTGGACTTAAATCTGATTGAGATGCTGTAGCATGACTTTAACCAGGCCATTCATGCTGGAAAACCCTCCAATGTGGCTGAATTAAAACAATTCTGCAAAGAGTGGACCAAAATTCCTCCACAGCGATGTGAGAGACTCAGTGCCAGTAAACGCTTGATTACAATTGTTGCCGCCAAGGGTGGCAAAACCAGTTATTAGGTTTAGGGGGGGCAATTACTTTATCACATAGGGCCAGGCAAGTTTGGACAGCTTTTTTCCCTTAACCACTTCCAGTCCGGACACTTTCACCCCCTTCCTGTTCAGGCAAATTTTCAGCATTCAGCGCCATCGCACTTTGAATGACAATTGCGCGGTCATGCAACACTGTACCCATATGAATTTTGTAGCATTTTTTTGAGACAGATAAAGCTTTATTTTGGTGGTATTTATTTACCACTGGGATTTTAATTTTTTTTGCTATATAAATGAAAAAGTCCCAAAATTTTGAAAAAAAGGGTTTTTTTTCTTATAAAATTTTGCAAATAAATAATATTTTATCATAAATCTTGGCCAAAATTTATTCAGTTATCTTTTTAGCAAAAAAAAAATAACCCAAATTAGTTTATAACCAAAAATTATAATTTTTTTAAAAAATCTTTACATTTTAATTTTTTTACATTATTATTTATGTTTTTTTTTTACATACTGTTACCCTAGCATGGTGACACTGCACTACTTGTGGGGGGTGATGAAGATTTTTTTTTTTTACACTGATTGCTTTTACATCCTTTATGGGTATAAAAGCAATCATTTCTCCTTCTCTCTGGTGGCATTCTTGCAGCCATTGAGAAATGCTGTGTAAGCTGCGATTGGTCACAGCTTGTCACATGGCACTGGATCGCGGTGCTGCGCTTGTCACATGGTACAAGGCTGTTGTGAATAGCCTTGTACCATGTGACCTTTGTGATCATTCACAGATTTCACACGTAGTAAGCAATGATGTCAGAAGTGATATCTTTCTTACTACTCTGCATGTGATCACTGATTGGCCAATCAGTGATCACATGGTCAGGACCTCACACAGAGGTCCCGTACAATGATCGGTGTTCCACTGTGTCTGGAGGACACAGCGGGCACCGGATCGCAGTGCTGCGCGTTCCCAGGGAGCGTGCACAGCTTGAAAATGCGGTGCAGTTTATGAACGGCAACCCGCCCCTGGAGTGCCACCGTCCCACCGTTTACAAACAGCGGCCGGACGGCAAGTGGTTAATAAAATCATCATTTAAAAATTGCATTTTGCTTTATCTTTGTGTACTATTAAAATTTGTTTGATGATCTAAATCATTTAAGTGGAAAATATGAAAAAAAAAATCAGGAAGGGGGCAAATACACAGCACTGTGTTTCCTGTTCTCCTCTTCCCTCTTCCCCAATTTTTACTTACCCTTTCCACACTCCAGCGTTGCCCCTGATTTCATCCTCGGTCCAGCACTGGAGGTCCTCTTCAGGGCAGAACATTGTCATTCTTCCCTAATCCTGTGAGCCCACCCTGGGGGGTGCATCTTCCTGTAGGCTGGGTTCAGGACTGCTCAGCACCACTCCTTCTCCCTGGCACCGCCAAAAAGAAGAAGAAAAAAAAAAGTCCCGGTGACATCATCATCTAGTAAGAAAAAAAGTTGGTATAGGGATTTTGAATTTTAAAAAAACAAAAACAGGGGAACAAGGGCTTACGGTGGTGGGGAGGCAGGTGGTGGGTAACTTGACAGGAGTTCCGCTTTAACCCAGCCCAATTATTTCAGCTGAGGGTTCAAACGGTTGGATCCAAATATATCCAGTACTGTCTGGCCAACGGTTAGTCCATGCACTTGTTATACCTGATGTTACAATTTTTAACCACTCAAATTTTAATTTTGAATTTGCAAATTCCTTTATTAATTAAATAAATCAGTTGTCATTCACCCTACTATACTACGGACATCCTTTATGGTCTCCTGCGTGGAGCTATTTACTTTTAAAGCCAATCCTGATCCAGCCGTCCATCAGTATCCAGAGAGGGGAGTTCCTTAAAGCTGACAGCTACACCCGTCCATCCCTTAAAGGGATCTCTGGTCAGCTGGATCCTGTATTTTCCTGTGAACCCCTGACAGCACCACCATACCTAGAGGGAGGATCATCCTGGAGTAGGACCTAATCCAATTCCTAAAGGGGACCTCTACATATTTATACAATGCGTATTTACGTTACGCATCTGGTGAGTGCGTAAATCTACCACACTTTTTGGAGCACCATTATTTGGATTCTACTGTTATCTCTTACCCAGATCTGCACAGACTGACACCTTATAATTTGGCATTGTAATTAATTTATAGACATTAGTAATTTTTTTGTATGTTTTTAGCGCTGCACCCTTTTTACTTGTTATAACACTAGATCTGCACATGGTTACCTTTGTAATCTGTTGAATAACAAACTCTTCCGAGGAAGTGATTTCGGGGATTCCGTCTGTGCCCACTCCATCGCACTTCAGACTCCCATAGATAGTGGGTTTACCTAAAAGGTGGAAAGATCAATGTTCAGAAAAGCAGCAGTGAGACTTACTAAAACTGGAGAGTGCAAAATCCAGTGCAGCTGTGCGTGGTAGCCGGGTAGCTTCTAACTCCCCCTTGGTTCACACCTAAGCGTTTTCCGCAGCGTTTTGCAGAAACGCAATACTGTCCATTTAACCACTTGAGCTCCAGAGGATTTACCCCCCTTAATGACCAGGCCTCTTTTTGCTACTCGGCGCTGCACTAATTCAACTGATAATTGCGCGGTCATGCAATGCTGTACCCAAACGAAATTTAAGTCCTTTTTTTCACACAAATAGAGCTTTCTTTCGGTGTAATTTGATCACCTGTGCGCTTTTTATTTTTCACGCTATAAACAAAAAAAGGCCAAAAAGTTTGAAGAAAAACAATATTTTTTATTTTCAGCTATAAAAAATATATAGTAAACTCAAAGTTGGTTATAAATTTAGGCCAAAATGTATTCTGCTCCATGTTTTTGGTAAAAAAAACCCAATAAGTGTATATTGATTGCTTTGTGTGGAAGTTATAGCGTCTACAAACTATGGTATAGATACTGCAATTTACGCCATTTTTGTGCTATACAGCACTGCGCTAGTTTAACGGACAATTGCGCGGTCATGCAATATGGTAACATAAATGAAATTTACATCCTTTTTTTCCCCACAAATTGAGCTTTCTTTTGGTGGTATTTGATCGCCTGTGCGTTTTTTTTTATTTTTTGCGCTATAAAAAAAAAGGCTGACAATTTTGAGGAAAAAAAAAACAATATTTTGGACTTTTTGCTATTTTGGACTTTTCACATGTCCAGTAAAAAAAAAATGCAAAAATCAAATTTAGTCTTAAATTTCTGCCAAAATGCATTCTGCGACATGTCTTTGCTAAAAAAAAAAAAAAACCCAATCCGTGTAAATTAATTGGTTTACGTGAAAGTTATAGCGTTTACAAATGGCGGGAAAGATACTGGGATTTTTAGTTTTTTTTTATACTAATAATGGCGGCGATCAGCAAATTATGGCGGCGATCAGGGACTTATGGCGAGACTGCGGCGGACATTCTGATATTGGGGGGTACTGACTTGGGGTCACTGACATCCCCAAAAACACTAATACAGTGATCAGTGCAAAAAAAAAAAAAACTGACACTGTACTAATGGCACTGGGGAGGAAGGGGTTAACTTTATTTTGCAGGGAAGGGTTATAGGAGTGAGGGGGAGTGTTTTACTAGGGGGCGGGGGTGTGTACTGGGCGGGACAAGGCTGATCGAGAAAGAGAAACTGTTCTTTCTCGATCAGCTCATCCTTGAGCTGACAGGGAAGTGACAGACAGCACAGCTACTGCAGCTGTGCTCTCTGTTACTGTTTGCCACCGATCGCCGGGACATAGCCGCTAAGGAGCAGCTGTGACCCGGAGACTGACATCTGCGGTGGTGATCCGCGGGACAGATAGGGCGGCAGCGCGCCTCGCGCGCGCCCCCTATTTGTTTACAAAACACACGTTTTAAAATGTGGTTTTGCCTGTGAGTGCCGCCCTGACGCCGTATATGTACAGTGGCAGGGCGGCAAGTGGTTAAGATGATTTCCTCGGGACACATTCACATCTCCGCATTTTCACCCGCTGCGTTTTTTGGTAAGGGTCAGGGACTTTTTTGAACGCAAAAAGTTGCATTTTTGGTTCTATAGACTTCAATGGAAATGATGCAGAAAAGCATGGAGTGCATTTTTGCAGCATTTGTGATGCAATTTAAATCTGCCCAGCAAAGAAAAAAAAAAAAGCGCAAAATGCAATGCAGAAACAGATCAAATGCAAACTGCATAAATGTGAACCCAGCCTTCAGCTTGTTCAATTAAGCTTTGACAATAAAACCTGGAAGCTGATTGGTTTCTGTGTAGAGCTGCACCAGATTTTGCACTCTCCGGCATTAGTAAATAACCTCCTAAGAGTTCATGTGACTAGAACAGGTTCGAAAACCCATGTGCTTTCTTAGCAGACAAGACGTATCAATGACTTCAAGTACATCTCCTCTAGATCAGCGGTTTCTCCCCCAGGACTTCTCCAGAAATGGTTAAGGGTTCCTTGATTTGTGACTGAGTGGCTTCCCATCTGATGGTGCCTGCATAGATCTAGGATCAGCATCACTTGGCTGAGCCAGCCGCCTGACACCAATCATTTTTTTTTTTAGCAGTCTGTAATGGTTCATTCATATGGATGGCAGTAAAAGCAGGCGGTAGAGACAGTTTTACCGCCCCCTAAACATAGCAATACAGTACAGCCACTCAGAGCTGAACCCATGCTGCAGCAATAGTAACATGGCATGTCGCATTTGGCAGACGGTACTGCCGCCAAAATGTGCCCCATTGAAGTGAATGTGGCCACACCACAACCGCCCTGCAACCGTGTGCAATGCAAGTGGATGTTTGACATTTTGAGGGTTAAAGGATAAGTTTGCCTTTGGGAACATGCTACATGTTCCACCCGTTCTTAGGGTGGAACATGCAACAACTATAGAAGTCACAAGACTGCTACATACTGCTGATGAGAAAAGGTATTTGCCAATCTATATTTACTAAAATAATTGCATTTCCGTGTTCTGTGTACTGTGGGAGACCAGATACAGTGAATGCAGGGCCCTGGGAGATCAGATATAGAGAATGCAGGGTCCTGGGAGACCAGATATAGTGAATGCAGGGTCCTGGGAGACCAGATATAGTGAATGCGGGGTCCTGGGACCAGATATAGTGAATGCGGGGTCCTGGGAGACCAGATATAGTGAATGCGGGGTCCTGGGAGACCAGATATAGTGAATGCGGGGTCCTGGGAGACCAGATATAGTGAATGCGGGGTCCTGGGGGAGACCAGATATAGTGAATGCGGGGTCCTGGGAGACCAGATATAGTGAATGCGGGGTCCTGGGAGACCAGATATAGTGAATGCGGGGTCCTGGGAGACCAGATATAGTGAATGCGGGGTCCTGGGAGACAGATATAGTGAATGCGGGGTCCTGGGGAGACCAGATATAGTGAATGCGGGGTCCTGGGAGACCAGATATAGTGAATGCGGGTCCTGGGAGACCAGATATAGTGAATGCGGGGTCCTGGGAGACCAGATATAGTGAATGCGGGGTCCTGGGAGACCAGATATAGTGAATGCGGGGTCCTGGGGAGACCAGATATAGTGAATGCGGGGTCCTGGGGAGACCAGATATAGTGAATGCGGGGTCCTGGGAGACCAGATATAGTGAATGCGGGGTCCTGGGAGACCAGATATAGTGAATGCGGGGTCCTGGGAGACCAGATATAGTGAATGCGGGGTCCTGGGGAGACCAGATATAGTGAATGCGGGGTCCTGGGAGACCAGATATAGTGAATGCGGGGTCCTGGGAGACCAGATATAGTGAATGCGGGGTCCTGGGAGACCAGATATAGTGAATGCGGGGTCCTGGGAGACCAGATATAGTGAATGCGGGGGGGTCCTGGGAGACCAGATATAGTGAATGCAGGGTCCTGGGAGACCAGATATAGAGAATGCAGGGTCCTGGGAGATCAGATATAGTGAATGCAGGGTCCTGGGAAAACCAGATATAGTGAATGCAGGGCCCTGGGAGATCAGATATAGTAAATGCAGGGTCCGGGGAGACCAGATATAGTGAATGCAGGGTCCGGGGAGACCAGATATAGTGAATGCAGGGTCCTGGGAGACCAGATATAGTGAATGCAGGGTCCTGGGAGACCAGATATAGTGAATGCAGGGTCCTGGGAGACCAGATATAGTGAATGCAGGGTCCTGGGAGACCAGATATAGTGAATGCGGGGTCCTGGGAGACCAGATATAGTGAATGCGGGGTCCTGGGAGACCAGATATAGTGAATGCGGGGTCCTGGGAGACCAGATATAGTGAATGCGGGGTCCTGGGAGACCAGATATAGTGAATGCGGGGTCCTGGGAGACCAGATATAGTGAATGCGGGGTCCTGGGAGACCAGATATAGTGAATGCGGGGTCCTGGGGAGACCAGATATAGTGAATGCGGGGTCCTGGGAGACCAGATATAGTGAATGCGGGGTCCTGGGAGACCAGATATAGTGAATGCGGGGTCCTGGGAGATCAGATATAGTGAATGCGGGGTCCGGGGAGACCAGATATAGTGAATGCAGGGTCCGGGGAGACCAGATATAGTGAATGCAGGGTCCGGGGAGACCAGATATAGTGAATGCAGGGTCCGGGGAGACCAGATATAGTGAATGCAGGGTCCGGGGAGACCAGATATAGTGAATGCAGGGTCCGGGGAGACCAGATATAGTGAATGCAGGGTCCGGGGGAGACCAGATATATAGTGAATGCAGGGTCCGGGGAGACCAGATATAGTGAATGCAGGGTCCGGGGAGACCAGATATAGTGAATGCAGGGTCCGGGGAGACCAGATATAGTGAATGCAGGGTCCGGGGAGACCAGATATAGTGAATGCGAGGTCCCGGGAGACCAGATATAGTGAATGCAGGGTCCTGGGAGACCAGATATAGTGAATGCAGGGTCCCGGGAGACCAGATATAGTGAATGAATGCAGGGTCCCGGGAGACCAGATATAGTGAATGCAGGGTCCCGGGAGACCAGATATAGTGAATGCAGGATCCTGGGTTTAGTTACACTTAAAGTTCAGGAGAGGGGCCTGTATACCTGTGCAAGATGAGTTTATCTTTAAAATCATAGCTCAGCTTAAATTTTTTAGCATGGATGGAGGAATTTGTTAGAAATCTATAAGTGAACGGCCAGCTTAACACATGGGTGGTTTGCTATCCTGACAAAGTCTGCACTGCCACCTGTTAAAAGTATCTCTAAACCCCAACTGGTTATCATTCTGTGCAGTGTGTGTCATAAGCCACTGCCGTATGTTCTTTCATAAATTACTTCCCCCCCCCCCCCCCCCCCCCATCTCTGTGCTGCTGATCTCCTCCAACCTCTTTCATCCACTTCCCATCTGCATGCACCCCTCTAGTGTCGCCTGCAC